TAGACAGTTAGAATGGTGAAATAAGGATACCCAAGTCAGCCATGAAAATGAATGTATGTAATCAGTATAAAATATATACACATGTATTGAAGAATGGATTCTCAAGAATGTTTATAGACTCAGGATTCAGTGACACGACCCAGATATTGAAATAGCCAGATTGTCTTGAGATGGACCTGATTTCATCATGGAACCTGTGAGGAGCTGGTGAAAAAGAGCATAATGCGAATTCATGGAATACTTATCCCAGTTCGTAGATTGATGCTCCCCTCAGTCCATGGTGATTTGACTGTAGTGGACTCAGGTATCTATGTCTCTAGTTGATCTGGTACCAGTTCCCCTCCCCATCGAGGACACCAGAACTGCACAGGGACTCAACAAGTCTGTCTCACAGGTCAGGTCACAAACTTGCCTCAGAGCTCAACCAAGCCCTCGAAGACTGGTTCACCAAGTCGAGGACACAAATGTCTGCCATGGTCCACTTGTCTTTGAGCTCACAAACACGCTCCTGCCATGTTGAGGTAGTGGCACAAAGGGCAGGACTTTAGGTTATGCTTGGTGCATAGAATGGTATGGGTTGGTGGTTGTTGGCTGGACTGTGATTCGTCTGCCTGATCTCTACAGAGGTCTCATCCCAAGCTTAGGAAATCTTCCAAGTTAGAACTGGAACTGTGAATGTGCCAAATTCTACACTGAATGGATAAACGTCTTGACGCTTCGGGATCAGGCAAAAGAATCGCGTTTTTCAAAATCAAACGCGTCACCAAAAAATAAAGTTCCTTGTATTAATGAGCAAGGAGTAAACTGGTTTCCATGAATTTTCAAATAAAACACCAGAAACACCCACTTTACAGTTGCAAGTTTGAAAATGAAGATATATCAAAGCAACTAGAGGGTCCAGAAATTACTATTTTACCAGATAAAAGTATAGATCAATATAAGGGACTTTATACCTTTCCGGACAGGTCTAAGTTTGAAATTTTTCTGAGCGCGGGGGGTTTCAGGTCCTGACTCGTCCACTATGTGTGGTGGCTGTTCATTCCTTGACAAAAGGGGTTGCTAAAGGTTATAATTGTGACTAGATTATCGTAACTCTATGTGTCTAGTGACTGCAGGTTCGAGAGAGTCACGACTAGCTGGCCACGAGAGCTTCCTAATTTATCATACCACTGAACTGTGATATAGCTGGTACCAAACTGACACATAATATCAAGCTGGTTAACTGTTATGTGTTTTAAATTTCTTAGAATGTTCTTAGATTCCTGCAGGCATGCAGCACAACACAGATAGGCAATACATACATTGTGTGTCCATCTGGTAGTTAGACATGAACTATAACACTCAAAACTAGAAAAGCTGTAAATCAGCACCTCCGAAACTGGCCATCCGAAATGTCGTCGTGTTTGTACATGCTATACTACATCTACACAATTATAACTAAATATAACTGACAAGTCCCACCACAGAGAAAAGCTGAATATAATTCTACAAAAATCGTTATGTGTTCCTATACTCTTATACCATAATTTCTTTAAGCCTGTCCTATAGGGCACTGATGTCGGTTGGTCAACTTTTTTTTTCTCTCTTGTAGTCTTTACGTCCTTCTTTGGATTCCTTTAATTTTTTAAGCTGCCATACGCCGCAATATCGTCGTGTGTTTACATCTCCCTAGTTGACATCGCCGAACATTCTGTCTTCCTAGCCATGTGCTGGCCTGGGTGCAGCTACCAGAACCGAATCTGCTTCAGCTGTGTCCTGTTAACTGTCCTCTGCAAATCTATCTATCTTCTTTTACTTCACCAGGACATCACACAAGCGATAAACACCCGGTAAACTCAACAAGATTAGAAGAATGCTACTCCCTCAGAGACCAGACAAGTGGAACACCTTGTGTGGAGGAAAAGAACAGCTTTGAAAACATGCAAATTCCACTACATGACATTGGGTCAAAGGGCAAAGCTCATGCGCCTCTGGATCAATAACAACAACAACATAAACACCCGGTGACACAACGTGCCATCTTGCGGGCTGAGGATCACCCGTGGAGAGGTCGCAGAAACCCCTTTTAGCGGTTATGGCTACAAATGTGGCCCATCTATATTCAGGGCCTGCGGCAAAAGCCAGGATGGGGCTTCAAATAACGAAAAACTGCATCCCACAAGGGGACTGGGTTTGTAACTCAGTGGAATTCTATCTACCTACTCTTGGCTCTTGCCAGGGGCCGCAATTTAGCCCGGCCATAATTATGGCCTAATGGCTGAACGCGGTTTCTGGGACTTCTCCACTGGTGATCCTTATCCACATTGTGGCACTTTGTGTCATCGGGTGTTTATCGCTTGTGTGACGTCCTGGTGGGGTAAAAAAAAAAAATAAATAGACATAAATTCTATATGCTCAGAATGTCCTTTCCTAACATTCAAAATTCTACTTATGTCCCTTTAAATTCAACAGCGATCAGATATTTTAAACGTCAGTTATTTCCCTTACACTAATGGCTCGGCCAGATCTGACTGAACTACCGTATACCAGTTGTCAGAACTATATGTTCTCTGTTAACTTATCAGATGTGACTGAGTTTCGGTATACCAGTTGTCAGTACTATCTGTTCTCTGTTAACTTGATCAGATTTGACTGAGCTACCGTATACCAGTTGTCAGTACTATTTGTTCTCTGTTAACTTGATCAGATGTGACTGAGCTACCGTATACCAGTTGTCAGTACTATCTGTTCTCTGTTAACTTGATCAGATTTGACTGAGCTACCGTATACCAGTTGTCAGTACTATTTGTTCTCTGTTAACTTGATCAGATGTGACTGAGTTTCGGTAAACCAGTTGTCAGTACTATTTGTTCTCTGTTAACTTGATCAGATGTGACTGAGCTACCGTATACCTGTTGTCAGTACTATATGTTCTCTGTTAACTTGATCAGATGTGACTGAGTTTTGGTATACCAGTTGTCAGTACTATTTGTTCTCTGTTAACTTGATCAGATGTGACTGAGTTTCGGTATACCAGTTGTCAGTACTATTTGTTCTCTGTTAACTTGATCAGATGTGACTGAGTTTCGGTATACCAGTTGTCAGAACTATATGTTCTCTGTTAACTTGATCAGATGTGACTGAGTTTCGGTATACCAGTTGTCAGTACTATCTGTTCTCTGTTAACTTGATCAGATTTGACTGAGTTACGGTATACCAGTCGTCAGTACTATTTGTTCTCTGTTAACTTGGTCAGATGTGACTGAGCTACAGTATACCAGTTGCCAGTACTATTTGTTCTCTGTTAACTTGATCAGATATGACTGAGCTACCATATACAAGTAACCGGTACAATCTGTTTCCTGTTAACGCCGAATATTGGGCGGAGTTACCAAACCTGACATCCCATATTGTGCCAACGGCTTCCGGCGGAGGACACCTTGAGGGAGACACTACCATTATCTTTTGAAGAAGCTTTTATAAAGGGGTAGGAAATTATAGGGAAGAGAAAAAGGGGATAAGAAAGAACAGATAGTTTATGTTAGCTTTACAAAATCAATCACAATAAACAAACAAAGGACGTTGCGGCGATTAGTTTTCATCAGCACGTAAAAAACAGCACAGTAAACAAACACAAATATGCTCTAGCTATGAAGTGACTACATATGACTCTAATGTACAAAATCAATGATACTCATCTGTGTCCCTGGCGAAAAACTTTGTTCAATAGGATGAATATGACAGGTACTAGCGAAAAGCGAAAAAGCGGGAAGCGAAAACTAGGTGGTATACCTGGGAAATGGGCGGAGTAGACGCCAACAGCATACACTGAATGCCTAAGGGGGAGGGAGGGGTTGGTCAATATGACGACAGGCCTTGGAGGTAAATAAAGACATCAGTTACAGGTTATAAGTCCACTGCCAATTGGCGTAGACGATGGCGCCACGGGATGCCTCTGACGGCGGGACACATTTTCGACTGCCCTTGATCAGCTACCGCTTGCCTTAACTGGGCAGCTCCTAACCAATACATCTTTATGGTGAGTGACAGATAGGCAGAAGATGAAGGACAGTCTACTAGGATGAATAGATATTACAAAGGGAGCATGAATGATACTAGTATTAAGGTGGATTCGAAAACAAGATACCAATAATTATATTGTACGGAATAGTGATAAAGAAAGAAAATGATTGCACAGCATAATGCTATTGTGTTGTAGAAATACTCTCTGTGAGCGTATGTTTAACTTCATTAGGATTCCTAGTTTTTCTAAAGTCACAGAAATGCAGCCTGGTACACTTTGCAACTTTCAAGCCACTTCAAGCGCTGCACGGCATTCTAGTAACAAATAGTTAACCATTACACGTCATTAGTTTCACGGCATTCTTGTAACCAATAGTTAACCATTACACGTCATTAGTTTCATAGCTTTCTAGTAACCAATAGTTAACCATTACACGTCATTAGTTTCACGGCATTCTAGTAACCAATAGTTAACCATTACACGTCATTAGTTTCATAGCATTCTAGTAACAAATAGTTGACCATTACACGTCTTTAGTTTCACGGCATTCTAGTAACAAATAGTTAACCATTACACGTCTTTAGTTTCACGGCATTCTAGTAACAAATAGTTAACCATTACACGTCTTTCATTAGTTTCATAGCATTCTAGTAACCAATAGTTAACCATTACACGTCATTAGTTTCATAGCATTCTAGTAACCAATAGTTAACCATTACACGTCATTAGTTTTGTAGCATTCTAGTAACCAATAGTTAACCATTATACGTCTTTAGTTTCACGGCATTCTAGTAACCAATAGTTAACCATTACACGTCATTAGTTTCATAGCAATCTAGTAACCAATAGTTAACCATTACACGTCATTAGTTTCATAGCATTCTAGTAACCAATAGTTAACCATTATACGTCATTAGTTTCATAGCTTTCTAGTAACCAATAGTTAACCATTACACGTCATTAGTTTCATAGCATTCTAGCAACCAATAGTTAACCATTATACATCTTTAGGTGCATAACATTGATCTCGAAGAAACCACTGCCGCAGATCGGGATAGTATTTCTGGCGATCATCTTTGTGCATCTTTTCACACAAATCACAGAACCACTTCTGCTCCGGCAGCACCCCGTACCTGTTCTTGTCCTTCAGCATGGATATATAACGTTTCTTATCTTTAGCCATCTCCAGAAGAAAAGCCCCGAGCTTCTCAGGGGACTTGAAATCAGAAGCGTCGATAAATGTGTTTCCTGGAAAGTTTTTCTTGTAATCAGCACCTCCCCGAACAACTGGGACGACATCAACGTCTCCAAACAGTTTGAAAAATTTCTCAGTGACATAATCTTTGCAAAACGAGTTCTCAAGCGCCAGGTAAAAGAAATACGTCTTAGACAACAAAGGAAAGCACTGAGATTTATCAAGATCTCGTTTACTTCCAGCCGGATCCCCACAAGTGTAGTTCCCACAGCTCCCAAAGACGTGGACGTCAACGATCCTCTGCATGCGTCGGACAAAAAGGTCTCTCCTGCTTTGAGTAAAACAGTGACTGACAAACCAAGCGGCTGTGACTGTCTTGCCGCGGTAAATCCGATCGTAGTCTTTGACTGGACTCGCCTGCCTCTGCAGTTTCCCGTATATGAAGGGGATGTCCGAGTCTAGGCGATAGGTCATTGTCCAGTTAAACTGACCTGGTAGAAAAATGTATATAATTTTTATACAGTAAATGTCATCTATTAGTATAGTACAATATTTGTATAGTAAAGTATAGTAAAGGCATTAACTGGTGCCTTCGCAGAATAGAAGGAATCAAATGGTATGATAGAATAACTAATGTAGAGCTTTGGGAGAGAAATTAACAGGCTCCAGTGGTAAGGAAAAGACGCTGGCGTTGGATAGGACACACACTGAGAAAACAGGAGAACAGCATAACTAGAATGTCTTTGCGTTGGAACCCACAGGGGCATAGGAATATAGGAAGGCTAAAAACACACATGGAGAAGAGAGCTGGAGAATGAAGTGAGAAAGATGGGGAGGACATGGGGAGAGCTCCGTGTAATGGCGAAGGATAGAACAACTTGGCGTGAGTTGGTTGAAGGCCTATGCTCCATTGGGGGATAGAAAGGCAGAAGAAAGAAGAAGAAGAAAGTATAGTAAAGTACAATTAAGTATAGTCAAGTATAATCAAGTATAGTCAAGTATAATCAAGTATAGTCAAGTATAATCAAGTATAGTCAAGTATAGTAAAGAAACCGCCGTGGTCAAGCGACTAGACGCTCACCTGCGGATTCGAAAGTCATGGATTCAAATTCGAACGGTAGTCGGATAGTCATTAATTCAAAAAAATAGTCAAGTATAGTCAAGACTTAGTGCTGTATAGTCAAGGTAATCGTACCCAAGTATAGTAAAGAAACCCGTGGTCAATGGGTACCAGGAAAAGTTCGAGACGGGGAGTCGGGGACATTTTAAAAAAAAAAATGACTTTGCTACCATGGAAATTTTTTTTTCTTGAATGGAGTTTACAGGAGAAGTCCATGGAAGTAATGACGGTCGACGTGATATTGAGTCTATCACCGACCGTGTGCCGATTAGTCTATAAAATATAGTTCTAGCATTATATGTTCAACACCCATGAAGGTGATAAAAAACGTATATTTTACAGTAAATTGACATTTGGGTACATATCACGAACATGCCCCTATCTCGCCAGGCGCGAGATTTCGTTTCGGCTTCCATTCATGCCGTGGCCGTTCCCACGGCTGTTCTTTGTTCTAGGGGAGTTAGCATATGCGTTCCTTCCCCCTAGTCATATATACGTACCGTGCGAAAAACCGGCTTCCGTTCAATCGAGGCCCGACACGACGAAAGTGCGCTGGTCTAAGTCCTTACAGGCGAAATTGAGCGACGTGGTTTGTGTGTCTGTGCGCGCGCGCAGGTGGGTGTTCGACTAGTGTTCTTTTCTCTGTCAACTCGGTCTCTTGTGCAAGCGTCACTGGTTTGGCAATAGGTGACATTATGGGGCGGGCCCTGCCAACAGCACTGCCCAGACTCACCTTTAAAGGCGGGATAGTCCAGATTGTCGAACTGTGACCACCGTACAGGGGATTCTCCGGTCATCATGACCCACCTCTGTGTGCGGGGTCTGTTAAAACGTGGCACCGCCTCATTCTGTCGAAACCTGCAGAGTTGTTGTAACTAGCTTACTAAATTGTTATCTGACTGGCTAGCTAGCTAAGTAACTAACTAACCAACTGACTGACTAGCTAACTAACTAACTATCATACTGCGCACATTTTTTAATTTATTTACTGCAAAATTTGATTTTTTTTTTAAAAATACATCCAGAAACCATGAATTGTTAACCATTTCGCTCAATACTATGCATTTAGCAAGATATCGGCTTTGATTCCATGATAGATACCGTAAATCTGGGATAAATGTGTCTTTTCTACCTACCCCTGGGCGTAAACCCCGACCACAAGGAGTATGTCAGCCGGTCGCCGCGCAGTCAGGTTTAAGCAACTGAGCTAGCGAGCCGGGCTATAGCAATTTGATAGTATACCCCATTTGCTTGCTATCAGCAGTATGCTGATCCTTAGGATCCCACTGAACAGTTCACACAATCCGTCAGTCGTCAAGACAAAAAATTTGAATCCCTTCAATGCAGTCACGCCAAAGAAAGTCAACCTGAATACATGAAAGACAGTCACGTCAGTAAACAAGACAGAGTACATGAATACAATAAAGACATTCACGTCAACAGCAAAGACAGCAAAGTACCTAGAATAAACTGAGACAGTCACGTCAGTAAACAAGACAGAGTACACGATTACACTGAAGTCCACCACGTCAGTAAACAAGACAGAGTACACGATTACACTGAAGTCCACCACGTCAGTAAACAAGACAGAGTACACGATTACACTGAGGTCCACCACGTCAGTAAACAAGACAGAGTACACGATTACACTGAAGTCCACCACGTCAGTAAACAAGACAGAGTACACGATTACACTGAGGTCCACCACGTCAGTAAACAAGACAGAGTACACGATTACACTGAAGTCCACCAAGTCAGTAAACAAGACAGAGTACACGATTACACTGAAGTCCACCACGTCAGTAAACAAGACAGAGTACACGATTACACTGAGGTCCACCACGTCAGTAAACAAGACAGAGTACACGATTACACTGAAGTCCACCAAGTCAGTAAACAAGACAGAGTACATGAATACACCAAAGAAGTCACGTCAACAACAACGATAGAGTACTTGGAATAAATTGAGACAGTCACGTCAGTAAACAAAACAGAGTACCTAAATACATTAAAGACAGCCACGTCAGCCTGCTCGTAGTCCCGGATCTGTTGGCACGGGAAACGACAAGTTTCCACGGGGACAGGCTTGTTAATGAAGCAGCCGATTCTGCCGCCTTTGCATGGCCAGATGATGGTGAATGTCTTGTTTCTCGTTGCCTCTGGTACCACGTCTGTCAGCTCTGGGGAAAAACACGTTATAACAAGAGTACTTGGAGAAATATGATAAGGAAAGCGAAGATTATTAGCTTAAAATAATGACAATTTTTTGTTGTTGTAGACACACTTTACACGCTAACGCTTCTGCGATATCAAAGTTACTGCTATTAAATCTTGCTTCGGTGATCAAACCAGCCGTTACTCCTTAGAAAATCGTTTCATTCACAGTCTGGGCGTGCTCAGTCTAGAAGGATCAATATTCAACACAGCTGTGTTTAATTAATTGATTAATTAATTAACCTTTTTATTTGTTTATTCATGTATTCATTTAACTTGTTCATGTTTCTCCTCCTCTTTTTTTTCCTACGCCTTGTTACTTTTTTGGCTTTGTTAATATAACCTTTCAATCTAAATGTTCCTTTTTTTACGTATTTGTTGGTTTCATGACCACCTTAGTTTTTTTAGAACCTCTATTGTCTTGTCCGTTGAGTTTTCCATTCCTAGTTTGTTTTGTCTAATACTCTGCTGTTAAATGCTTTGGTTGAAACGTTGGGTTGTATTTATGCGTCCTTTCTATCTAGCTTTCTTTTGGTATTTTATGTTGTATTTATATCGCATATTTTGTATCGCTTCATATCGTTAGCTTAACTGCAGTCACCCACTAGTTACGTAACCACTAAGCACAGTCAAACAAACGAGGGCAGTTAATTCCCCAAATCTCCGGGTCGATGATTCAAGATCCAGCTAAAAAGTTCGCCCAGGAGTTATGGGTGGCGAAAGATTTCAAAACATTCAGTGGCTGGCTCGAAATATTTTAGGCTCGAAACATTTTAACTGCCACAATGATGTCACAAGAGACAAGTACTGACTTACAAATCCCCCCCCCCCCTCCCCCACCCCTTTTTTTTAAATAAAGAATAATTAAACCATAATAAAACACAAATTGATGATTTGACCTCATGTTTTGATTATGTATTGGTTAATACGATACTATATTCCACAATATAAGCTGTTCAGGAAAGTATAATAGCAGTTCAATTAATCTCATTCCGTATGTTGACCACTTTTCTAAGTTGACCGGTTTGCTACAGCCACTTGGGTAGTCAACTTACAGAGGTTTTACTGCATGTTACATACCATTGTAGATCTCGTTGCTTGCAAACTTGTCCATCTCACTGTCCGTTACAACGAATGGTGAGCTGAAGTGATCATCAGTGCTATTCTTCCCCTGGAAGCTGAGCTCCCGCTGGACCCTGAGACTTGCAGAAGCCATTGTGATGTCACTGGCAGCTAGGAAGTTCAGTCTGGACTGCTGATACTTCAGGTCCCAAGCTAAACACCAGCAATTTGAAGAAAACAACATAGTTAATTGCAGTTCCTGTGGCTATGAACAAATGGCACAAGGTAGACCAAGAACAAGGACGAGCTGCCCATGGTCGAGGCGACTAGAATAGCAAGTTGCAGAATCTTATGTCTTTCTCGTTTCCTGAAGCCGTGAGAGAGGAAGTAAAGAAGAAAAAGAATTCCATCTTAACGGCAGACGGATCACTTCATAATTGCTTCCTTCGTTTACCTCCCCCCCCCCCCCCCCTTTCCCCTCAAATGTCCATTGCAGTTCTTTGTTTAAAAAAATGAAAGACACGGCTGTCTTGGCAAAGCCAGTAGCATACAAACACACACACACGTCATAAATGCATAAGGCTTCGTTAGAAGTGTCACCACAACAGTCCGCATTAAAATAACGCCGATGGAAGCATTGGCTACAGTAAATCCACACTGACACAGACGAATATTTGGTTCTATATTAATATACTGCCCCAAACAGGGGAAATCATAGGTCAAGGTACAGTTTAATATTTCAGGGGTGGGAGATAGGCTGCAAGCAGTCGTGGGACCTAGGCTGCACTCTCTAGTGGGACATAGGTGTGTTTTAGTTAGGGCCAGTTCTAGATGTTTTGAGTTCGTAAAAGCTTAAGAAAGCCGGGAAACCCAGTCTTACCACCCTCTAAAATATTGGACTGTCCTGTGACGTCATCTATGGTAGAATATTAATAAAGCACCGAATATATTCAGTTATGGAGCGAATATCGAGGAAAGAATGAAAAACAGCTTCTGACAGTGTTCTTCAATCTGTGATCCGCGGACCAATACTATTGCTTAGACATTTCCAGACAATTCTCCACAAATGTCTGCCCAGTTATGTAGCGGCCAAAGTTAAAACCAATCTGACGTATCGAACTGATGGTTTTGTAGCGCTTCGCCTATCAGAACAACGCTCCAGACACATGTGTCAGGTTTTCGAAATTCCAAAGTTCAAATATATTAGCTAAACATCGTAATTTTGTAACATTATATTTAATGTTAAAAAAAATTAACATTTTTTGACGTACTAGATGTTGGCCAGTCTGTGAAATTTTTCTAAATTGTTCCCGGTTAAAAAGTTGGTTGCGAATCCTTTACAGGACGTTGCATGACCAGCCCCAGCATTTTCTGACTGTTGTGGTTTTTGCCATTGCCAATACTGAACGGTCAGCTCTCGGTACCACTGTCAAAACCAACGCAAGACATATCGTCCGCAATTGGGATCTAACCCGGCACCCCGGCATTACGAAGCGTGTTCGCAACACCTAAGCCACAGACGCCGACATTTTCCCAACACTCATGCGGCAAAAAGCTGAAGAACGCTGATCTAAGATATGCCAGCGAGAATTGTCCTTAGTGGTCTTTTACGTCATGCATGGTAGGTCTTGTTGTTTTTTATTTTATTACCGTCTCCACAACGAAGGTTGGCCAGTGTTGACCAGTCTAGACCAGTGTTGACCAGTTTTGACCAGTGTACCAACTGTTTTTCTCTAAATATTACGCTGTAAGGCCCCAATCTATTTCACAGTACAACTGCCGTACAACTGGCTGCTGAAAAAGGGTACGGAGCGCTTATGGGAATGCTCCGAGTTCTCAGATGTCGTTTAAAAAAAAATTCATCTCAACCTAACAACTGCTCTAAAACTGTTCATACATCAGTTCATACTTTCATAATTATTCTTGGAATGCCTAAAATAGGTAAAACGACATGTCCTTGGAAGCAAAGGCGAACGATGTGAAGATGAACTTTTAACCCTTAGAGTGAAGAAATATATATGCAAATATGACTTCAACACCGTATGTTTTATACGTCCTTGGTGTGAAAAGACTAATTTACTGAACATATAGCAAAATGTCTATGGCTAGACACCAGCAAAGAAATCAAAATGTCAACTTTTTGAAAGCAGGCATCTTCCCTGTAGCAGCAGACGGATGCCGGTCGTGGATTCTTCCCCTTCGTTCTTCGCGTTCACCAGCTGTACACTCTGGCGGAAAGTTCTGGTTGCTCGTCCACTACTGAAATGCAGTCCTGCTCCAGAACCTGAGTGTTGCGTGTGCATCAGTTTTACAGATCTCATTCTCTTGAATACAGACTGTTGGTTCCTTGCCTCTCCGGCAGGTGCACTCCGACTTCAAAGGAAGCTCCCCCCAATTAGTCGACTCTTACGACATGCTTTTGGGGAGGCAGTGGGTCTATTCTTGTTTTCCCACAATGGGGTCCCGGAACCCACTCGGGGGGGGGGGGGGGAGAGAAGTGGATTAATATCTGGCAATTTTTACGGAAAACAAAATAATGACGTCTTAGTTGAAATACCGCAGGAAATATTCACAGGATACCAGGAACCAAGAAGAACAGAAATACTGATATCCTAACTGATCTAAACATCATGAAAAATGATACGTAAACAGCATCTTGTTTGGGAAATTGGAATGGTTTGGTCATATCAAGTGCCATGGAGGATTCAAGAGAACAGTAGACGACGGCATGGTACCAGGAAAAAGGAGCAGGAGTCGACCATCAAGAAGATGTGCCGAAGATATAGGAATAACCTCGAGTAGGAAAGTGTACGAAGCGGGAGAGCTGACGGGCGACCGAGTTCTTTAGGGCAGGTTGTGATAAGAGCGACGTTGTGCAGAGAACATGCCACATTTAGTTAACTTATTGTTTTAACAACCACTATCGTGTATCAAGGAGCCACCATGGTGCAGTAGCTAGATGCTCGACTGCGGGCCCCAAAGTCCTTGGGTTCAAAAACTCATCGAGCCAGACTGTTGAAAAAAATGGCATTGACTCTCATGTCGACCAAGCCTTACAAGGGTACCAGGTAAAATTCTCGGAAGTAAAGACGGTCGGTATAATGTTGATCACTCCATCCAACAAATGCCGAATGGTGTGTAAAATATAGGTCTGCAACTATATACGCCTTAGGGCGATTAAAATAGACCTTTGCTATTCTGTAATCATGTTAAATATAAATATTTACCGCTGTTTTCCTGTAAGTGTGCATGTTTTATGCGAATCACTTGACAAACCACCAGGAAACACACACTCGTGCATAGCAGCGTCCACACAGCCTGCCTGTAGTAACGTCTGTAGAGCCATCGGAAAATGTGACATTTCATCGCTGGATACTGCAACAGTCTCCTCAACACTGGGGATTACAAGCTCTTACCCAGTCCACTGATATGGTATTGAAAAGTTATAGACATTTATTTTTATCTATTATAACAATAACGAGCACATTTTATAGATTGTAACTACTCGAAGCAGATCTTTACCATTCAGGTGATGTATTTATGGTGTGGCTGGTTGGCAAAGGGGGATACATGTTACAAGAATTACCGTACAACTTTAATCCGACTATTGATCTCTCAATGACTGTTTATTACTTGGATTGACAGTTACGACAAGTCCCTCCATCTGCTGTCACTGTTTGCACCTGCTTTGCTTTCGTGTTCACTTCTTCTTCCGCTGCTTCCGTGATCTTCCTTAAAATGAAAGATTTGTTGTTGCGATTTCTTAGCCTTTGAAACATACACATACTTTAGCACACTCATAATTAGTTGTCTTTTATGACGTGCTTTTAAGGGAGCCTCGGAACCAACACGGAGATCTGTTTCAGTGATCCTGAAGTTATGTATGTATGTGTGTGTGTATGTG